AATTTTATTTTCCCATGTATAAAAATCTACTTAAAATATATTACAATAATTTGAAGATGTTGGGCTAGAGACCTACTAGAAATCTTCATAGACTTTCTTTTTTAGGTCTCTAGTTACTGTTCGTTTTATCACATACCGGTAATCAATTATTTACAGTCAATCAATACATAACATGCAAAATCAGCCAACATTACACCAACATGCTATACTTCAGACATTATCATACTTACTCGACTTGTCCAATTCTCTGGCAGCTTGGGCAGCACGTTCCAGACCCGTCGGATCAAAATTGGCCCACACAGGAGGCTTGCCCCCTTTGCCATCTTTCCCCCCATCACCATCACTCCCTCCCCCTGTCTGATCATCACCACTATCACTCCCGCCTGGGGGAGGGGGGTACTGAGGTGGGCCACCAGGGTAGGGTGGCTGCTTATTCATACCAAATAACCAAGACATTTTAAAAAAGAAAAAAAAATTCGCCTGATACAAAAATGATGAAATATTCTGTGGTTGATATTGCGCTTGACTATAACAAGCACGTGTGAGGCGGATTACCGCTAATCAAAAATACCGTCAGATTCGACGATCGTCAAATTCCGATTACGATACGTAAAAATCCGATTTGTATCCGGGATTTTCCGATCGTCAAACCAAGCTGGAGTTCTTTTCCAAAATGGCGAGCAAGTACACGTGTCTTTTGACAAAGGAGTTGGCTGTTTTATTGCTTTTAGCGCTTTGTTCGGCAAATGTTGTCCACGGTGCTGGAAAGGTTCTTGTTCTAGTTGATAATATAAACGTACAAGATACACATTCGATCTTCCTAAACTCGTTAAAAGGTATAAAATTCAGCGGTCTTTCGTATTTGTTGCAGCCATGTAACATGTTACTATTGTTACATCTTGCACAGACTACAGACAATGCGTGTATACTTTTACTATATTGACATCAAGTTAAAATTTCTTCTTGTTTGCAGTTGTAAACACTTATGTAGTACCTTGTTTATAACTGCATTAATAGTTGGCACATAGAATATAATATAAAAATGAACCCAAAAATAATAACATTGTTATTGTATAAATAATAAATAAAAGCTGTATTATTGGGTCATTCCAGAAAAGATCCACACTCCCAATACAAAGGGAATTTCTGCTGTCCAGAGATAGCCAGGAGTAATTCTCTTTCTAAAGGGGTAGACTTCCAATTTCCTTTATATGGGGGAAGTACATGGATGTTTTCTGGAATGACTCGTTATATAGAGAATCATATTTTGCAAAGAGTATCTTTTGATTTGAAGAAAAAGGATTTGAACTAACGATCAAGCCAGCTGACGATGCAAGCCTTAGTCTGAGCAAATATGGAGAATTTTTGTATGATCATTTGCTGTTATTATCACCATCAGTAGAAGGTACACCAGTTTTTTCTAATTGCATCTAATAAAAAGTATGTTTCAAATATCAAGACTAAATATTCTAATTTTGTTTTAATTGTTTCTAATGTTACTTAGAATTTGGAGGATCTATAAGTGTGGGCGCTATCACTGAATTCATCGATGCCGGCCACAATATCCTTGTTGTAGGAAGCTCAGATATTGGTAAGTTCTGTTATTTTTCTGTTGCATTATATGTCACAGTTTTGGAGTATATTCTTGCCTACTAACTATGTGTTGTTTTTAAGGGGATCCAATTCGGGAGCTTGCTGGGGAATGTGGTGTTGAATTTGATGAAGAGAAAACAGCAGTTATTGATCATATTAGCTACGATGCCTCGGATGAAGGCGAAGTATGTATAAAGTCTGGAAATGCTGAATAAATAGGGATGCCTAGAGATTTAGCAGTTTTTAGATTGTTTCATTGGAGACAGCTCATGTAGGCACAAACAATTTTAAAAGAGTTATTTATTGTCATTCAGCACACCAAGATACTGTCAGCTCCGTCAAACCTTCTCAAGAGTCCTTTGATTGTCGGTGAAACTCCAGCAGAACCACTGCTGTTTAAAGGTGTTGGGTAAGCAAAATGTTTGGGTGGATATTACACAGAGACGGATTTTCATATTTTTGTTCGGGGGGGTGGATAAATATCTGGGGGGTGCTGCTGCTTGCTTTGGCCGGGGCGTGGTAGCAACGCCCGGAAAGGCCAAGGAAAAAGTTTAACAAAATTTGTTTTCTAGGCCTGCATGGCGAGATCTGAGACCATAATATTGGTAATTTTACAAATTTAGTTTTGCACCACCCCCCTAAAGGCATTTGGCACCCCCGCAAATTACATATATTTTGATTTTCTGGGGGGGTGCCTGATATTAGATGTTTTCCTAAGTATAAATTTCCTAAGCATTTGCTCGAATTGTCAAAGTTTGTAATTGTTTCTATCTTCAGATTGTTGCATCATGCAGATGCCAGCAGATGACATATAGGAGTCTTCCTAAAATTTTTGTTTTATGTTTTTAGAATGACAGTAGATCCAGACAATCCACTCCTTTTAGAAGTGCTCACAGCTTCATCATCTTCGTATTCCTACCATGCTGATGTACCCATATCCGAGTACCCTCATGCTGTCGGCAAGAGCACCTTGTTGATTACAGCAATGCAAGCTCGAAACAATGCTCGTGTTGTGTTTGCTGGTTCTTTAGATTTCTTTAGTGACGAGTAAGAAGTCAAATAATTATAGTACAAAGATTTTTAAATGTTAAAGGGTTTTCTAGGCGGAAATTTCGAGTCTAAATGTTACTAACACATTAATAATTTTTGTACCGTAATCTCGTCTTTAGGTACTACCAGTCATCTGTTCAGTTTGCAACTTCTGGAGGGGCAAAGTGAGTGAACACCATATACATTCAGAATGATCTATTTTTTAAAATCTACCTTTCAATGCCTCGCTCTAATGTACACACGTAAAAATGCAGAGCTTGTAACAAGTCTGCAAACAAGTTGTTACAAGTCTGTTCACAAGCTGTCAACAAGCTGTCTTCACATTGCTTGTTCCCAGTTTGTTCTAACAAGTTTGAAACAAGCTGTTAACACTTTGTAACAAGCTGTTAACACTTTGTAACAAGCTTGATGGCATTATTAGCCTTGTTACAAGACTGTGCTTTCAAGTTTGTTACAACCATGATATGACAAGGATGTTACGAGGTTGTCAACACAAGGTTCTAACAATTTTGTTATATCAAGCATGTAACGGACTTGTCAGAACAACCTTGCAACAAGTCTGATAACTTTGACAAGGTTGTTACAAGTTGTCAACAAGTTGTTCCAAACCTGTTGACAACTTGTGACAAGCAGTGCGAATACATCTTGTTGACTGCTTGTTGGCAGACTTGTTACAAGATGTGAGAATTTTACGTGTGTAGATGAACAGCAAATGTTGTATGAGAAATCTCTGGTTTATATATATAGATTCCCAAAGTCTGGCAACCAACAAGTAGCCACAGCTCTGGCTAATTGGGTGTTCAAAGAACGTGGTGTACTTCGTGTTGGTCAAGTTAAACATCACCTTGTGGGAGAAACATCTCCACCCGCTGCTTATACTATTGGAGATGATGTTGTAAGTTTCCAGAAAATTTGAATTGAACATTTCAGTAAACATTCCAGGCCAACAGAAGATACAACAAACAGTGGTCATCTTCAGAAATATTTAACTTATAGCATCATGGAATGTCAAACTGTACCATCAATGATTCAATTGTTTTCTACTAAACTATGGTGCAATTTGAGATCACTGCATATTATTAAATAGGATATTAGTGCTCAGTATTTGCAAATTTTTTCACGTTTTTAACAATTTTTTGTTCTGTTTTCTTGTCTGACTTAATTGAGGTGATGTATTCACATATTCAAAATTCGTCTGATTTACATATAAACACCTCAATTTTCTCAGTTAAAATCACTTTTTGGATATTTTCTTGTTGAATTTGTGTCCGTGCTAGACATACAACCTCGTTTGTATATCTGATACAACACAGCTGTTCATGTTGTAAATAGTACTTATATATATTCAGATGTACAGTATTGAGATACAAGAACTTGTCAACGGAAAGTGGGTTGCATTCAAGGGAGATGATGTACAAATGGAGTTTGTGAGAATTGATCCTTTTGTTCGTACTACTTTGAAGAGAAAAGGTAGTTAGAACTCTTTTGGATGTCTTTAGAGTTTTACGCAACTGACTTGCAATTTGTTATCTTATTTACTTGTTTACAACTCATGTTGTTTACTTGTTTACAACTCATCTTGTTTACTTGTTTACAACTCAGTTTGATAGTTTGTAATTTGTTCGTTTTACTCAGACGAAATATTTTTTCATTTTTTCCAGACAACAAATTCTATGTTCAATTTAAACTCCCTGATGTGTATGGCGTTTTTACGTTCAAAGTCGATTATGAACGTGTGGGGTATTCTTTCTTACACAGCCGTAGTCAGGTATGGAATGTGTTTCATAAAGTACATAGAAAAATATATGTATGATTACCCTGGCATCATGAGAGCGCACGAGCACCGCTCACTGGCATATTTTAAAGTTGTGAATTTTGCTTGCGGTTACAAAGTACCATTATAAATGTTGAAGCAATGAAACAAGATAAATCCATATCTTGTAAACGTGTATTTCACAAGTGAAATTTAAAACTTTTATTTATAGAAAGTGAAAGTAGCAGTGGCGAAGCCAGCCCGACAATTTGGGCATGCCATGCAAATTTTAAATTATCATTATTCATTTCTTTACAAATTGATTGTTTTCACGGTGTATGAACACGGAAATATTTGCATAGCATGACCAAATTGTCGGGCTGGCTTCGTCACTGGAAAGTAGATATGTAGTTGTATTTTACAATGACACTCCTTAAAAAGAATGAACATCTACTTAACTACCCTTAGGAAATTTCCTATACGGTAAAAACTTTTTGTTTATTCATTTTTTTCTATTTTCTTTCGTTGATCAGATGTCCGTGCGTCCTCTCCAACACACGCAATATGAGCGTTTCATAATCTCTGCCTATCCTTACTACACCAGCGCATTTTCAATGATGGTTGGCTTGTTCTTTTTCTCCTTCGTCTTCCTATATCATCGCAACGAAAGCAAGACCAAAGAAGATTAGAACTGTACAACAAAATTGCGTTGTGTTTGTAATAATTTAGTGTAGAATGCTTTTAATAAACTGTTTTCAATTTTAGTTGTTTGCATTGAATAACAATCGATTTTTATTTCACCCCATAAACTATTCAAATTAAGGATTTTGGAAATTTTCGGGAATAGGTAACTAGACAAAAACGATGATTAAGTACTGTCTTGATTATTAGGACTACATTATTTTGCCTTATCAGCAAGATTGAGATGTTTCCAATTTTTCACATATAAGGAAGAATTTTAAGTAACCATACTTACCAAAAATTGTCCTTTGTTCACATTGAACATAATTTTGTTTGGTATCAAAGATTTCCATTGAACACCTTTTCAGTACCGGTAGTTTATTTTATAGATTCATAGAAATCTTCATCCAGTGTCCATGGCATCCTTGACATGTATTAACATTGTCATTGTCTACCACTTGTACTTCTTTCAATCTCAAATGAAGAGAAGCGCAAGTAGCAGTCAACGACAAGCTGCACGATATACTCTAATTTATACCAACTTGAACGGACTCTGGTTGACCTGGATTTGCGGTACAATGGCTGTTCTTTATGGCGATAAAGTATGAACCACGAAGAGATGTAAGAGAAAGGCCTTCAAGATGGAAATGCGTTCGTTAAGTGGTCAGTTGAACATTGACAGGATGCAGGCGTTGGCTGTCATGAACCTGCAAAACAAGGAAGAAAATTCGATAAGAAAAGATGACTCAACCCAATTCGTCCGTTGCCGTTGGAATTCCCGTGCAGATGTCGTGGGGGGAGATAAGTATTTTCCTACCAGTTTGGCAAAGATGCAGTGATATTTTTCAAAATGTACTGTTACTTGATTGCTGTTGTCTTACTTCATGGAAAATTGGCGTTGAAGAAACAATGTTCAATGTAGCTGAGAGTGTTGAAATGACTTCGCATTTTCTACATGATATTGTCCAACGCTGGTGGTAGAAATGAATATTGGTCATGCCTCTCAATATTCCTTCAATCTACCTGCTCATATCCTGTTTTCCTATGGAACTTTTATCTATCTACTCCTACCCATATCGATTCTTAAGCCCCGGTTAAACGAGAATGTCACGCATTGTTACAGGGGACATTTCAAGCTCTAGATTAACAAAATAAAGGTTTGACGAGTGTTCCAACTATGTTTCAACTTAAATAAAATACATGATAGTGTTGGGAAAGCATTAAGAACAGCTAACCAAGCTCGCGTGACTGTCAACTCTCATGCATCCTCGTTTCATCCGAGTTTAACTACAGGGTGTCTCAAGGTACTTGTTTCGTAAAACGTTTTGATTACGAATGTTCTCTGTTCAGGGGTTAATGGAACCATGTTTAACGTTCCTATGGTCTCACTGAGACAAAGATGGACGAGTTGAGCTTATTTTAGATAATTTAACATTCAATTTTAATTCCCTCTTGGGAATTGTTTATGTTTCGTTTTCCATGCAACTCCCAACGGTGGAAGAATGTGATTTCGACCGGCAATTTTTATTTGGCGAGTATGTGGCCATTTCTCATCGTTACGATTTAAAAAGAGTATCATTGAAAACCTAAATAACTGTTCTTTCGTCCTATTTAAAAATTGAATTGTTTAGCCACGTTTATGATGCACGACAGCCTGTTGAATTTCCATACCGTTTTTTTTTAGACACCCTGTATATCAGCTATCATTTTAATACAAAGCAATGGAAAGAAGCCCAACTTAGTCAAATTTTCAAAGAACTGCGAGTCTGCGACTTCGTACTTATTGCCTCGATCTGGCGAACTGCCATTCTAAGACTATTTTTTTAGTTATCAGGAACTGCCTCGATTTGGCGAACTGCCACTGATCTAATATTGATATTTTCTATCGAGTATTGATAATGAAAATAAGCGGAACACACTAGAAAATGATCGTTCTGGAATTAAGTCTCTCGTGCCATCAAGAAGCAACCCATGTGGTAGCTATTATATAATTTATAAGAAATCCTTTGTCTCACCGCTTGTCTAGACATTTCGCGGCTATTGTTGAGACTCGAGTCTTTACATACGGTGTATGTTCTCGATAAAATAGTACATAATTTAGCAGTTTAATTTTGTACCGTGATAAATTTTATTCCAGCAAGTTGATCTCCTAAATGAATGCACACTCTTCTTCTAATTTATTGTCGTGTCATTATATATTCATATTTATCTAAGCTGGCTATTAAAACATATATAGTCTATGCATATCACATCTTCTATACCCTTGGCCTTGCCACAAAGATTTGAATCGCCGGTACACTGTACCAAAAATGTTCTCAATATAAATTCTCACAAGTCAAGATTGAAAAAAAGTGTTGCGTCTTGGAATTATTCATTATTTCCACATATTACAATTAGTTTTCAGATTTTTAAATTTCTGAATATAATCCAACTCCAATACAGACCTTCAAAGTTTCATTCAACCGTGGATATTAACTTTTAGCCTGCCTAGGTGGATTAAGTAGACGTACGACTGCAGTATTGACAATGAAATAAAAAAAGAGTTCTAATATATTCTATGGTCCATGTACAATGATTAACTTTAAGTCCGGATAAAAATAAATACATCATATTATTATTAAAATTATACCAATTCAGTTCAATATTGGCACAACGTTTCATGCTACTTACCACAAATGAATCAGGATTTTTTAAGTTAGTTTCTTACCTCAAATGAAATAGTCAAGTTAGCTCCTTGTGACTGTAATTCTAATGGAGTAAACTGACGAGTAATGCCACTAATGGAGTGTTTCGTCATGGAGTTTCAAATAGAGATTTATGTCCTTTGATCGAGACGATTGTACCAGATTGTAGATAAAGAAGGATTCAATAAATAAAGATCTTCATAACGAGATGCTCTGTCATGGATGTCGATCGCTTTGCATGATAAAAGGAACAGCACACGCGAACAATGATCAGATAATGAAATGATTCAGTTCTACAGCCTGTCGCCTCTTGAGTCTTGTGTATTTGCCAACGAAAAAATTAAAAACAAACACAAGTACTTCTAAATGCAAATAAGCAAATGTTTTAACGACAAAGACATTGCGTGCATCGTCCTCCAGATCTTCGATTTGTTTGGAACATAATTTGCATCAATCAATAGTGCCTGTTGGATCACCCATTGACACGCAAAATGCGAGAGAACACGGTCACGCAATGAGAAAAACTGAAAGATATGATAGAAATTACACCAGAGGAATGTTTTTTTACATTGCAACTGACTTTTAGAATGATCATTGATTAGTTTTGAAATTTTGGGGCATTTTTGTGATGGTTTCACCTGCAATCTCTTTGCGTGACTTTCTTCACGTTTGTTCTGAACTGTTGGCGTAACGCACGACGGTAGAATAAAGGCTTTCGATTCAATTAAATTTCCACATCAAGTCTTTCATTTCAGTTATCTGATAGAGGAGAATTCACAAATTGCTAATGGACCCTTCACTAAACTTTATATATGTAAATATTAATTAACCTCGATAAATACACGCTTATCACAAACAGTGCTAAATGCTGTACATTCACGTGGCAGTTACGGACATATAATTTAATACATGGATTCAAAATTTCCGTGAGTGTACATTTGCGCGCGCCACTTGAAACGACGAAGCGTAAAGGAAAGAAGTTTCAATTGAAAATTGAAGTGTCATTAGAAAAGGCCGTGTTTTCAAAATATTTTCTTTGTTTTGTGTGGAAAGGCACGCAATAAATTTCCTCGGCCTGGGAGCCTCGTTCTCGCGCATCAGGACAAAAGAAGATTCGCTCACAATTCATGAAAATCAGGCTGACATGATATAGCTTTGTGACGTAATTATATCGAAAGTGTTAAGGAAACGTAGCCTGATAACAGACCTGCGTTTCGCCCGCCCTAAAATTCGCGGGTCGACGGAAACGGAAATTTAAAATGTTTGGGTGTGCTGTGGTTTCACGACATATTGCGATAACCCAACGATGAGTTACGATCGTTCTTGAGCCGGAACGTGCCGGATCGGTTGTTTCGTTTTCTCGTTTTCGTTTTTCACGTGTTTCGCGACATATTTTGCGGCGCGCCGTAGTATTAATCGGATGTTTTACAAGACCTGACCTGCTTTTGATTTTAAAAAAATAGAAAAGATTGAATTAATTTTAATAAAATGGGCTACCACTTGATAAGCGTGGAACCACTTGTTAGAATAACTGGCGTTGACGGCTCTGTAATACGGCTTCTTGCTGGAATTTTTATTGGTAAACGACATATTTAAATTGGTTTTGGACTTTGTTTACATTTATGACCTAACCATGCCGTCCAGTCATAATACAATGATTGTATATACTGTAATCTGTATTGTATATGTATAAAGTGTGTATTTGGTATGAACTATATATCAGATGTTTTAAATAGATATTATAATCTAAATAGTACCATCAAGAATATAAACTAATAAAGTATTTTAAATATTAACAGATGGTTTCATTATTAATAGATCTTGCACGGAAATGCACACTCAACTTTGCACACTTGAATAACTATCTATAGTTCAATAACTATCTGTAGTATTTGCATCCTGATATCCCTTATTTCTTTTATAATAGCTTATCCTTTGGCATTTATCTATGGTTTTACTCTTTACAAGAAAAGCCCAACTCTTCAGGTACCATTGACTGGTTGTATGAAGGCCTGGGGCCGGTTGTATCAGCCTGTTTAGCTTAAATGGTAAATAAGTCAAAATTAAATAACATTCAAGATTATATCTCTCGTGAATCAGTTAACTTAAATATTGTGCACTGAATATGTAGTTGTAAACAATATCGTTCTATTATTAAGGTTCAAAACTTTTAGTTAGTTTCTATTTTGAGCTTAAATATAACAGGCTTGATACAACCGGCAACTGCTAGCTAGTGCTATTTACTGGATAGTGATTAAATATTTAACTGTTGAAAAAAATATTAAAAAGCCATAAAACTACAAAATGAGACGAACCATTACATTTTCAGAATCGTGATTTTACTTTCATATTCCAATATGAAAAGAGACAGATGATTTTCATAACCAGATGATCTTGATACACGGAAAAGTACTGGCACTAGTTGTCAAATAAAACAACTGAATATCTCATGTAATATACTTTATTTCGATTCCACATTTTTGTCAGAGCTAGAGTTCTCATATTAAACCAAACATAATTACAAAATTTCAACTAGTTTCATAAAGAATAACGAAAGATATAATTGACTGCATGAATACATCAAGATGGATTTGGCTTACTGTAGTTCACGAAACGAAATGAAACGAAACGAAATCTGCACTTTGCGAAACTGTAATTTGCGAAATCTGTAATTTGCGAAATCTGCAGTTTGCGAAATCTGCAGTTTGCGAAATCTCTAGATAGATTGCTATTCAAATTTGCAGTTTGCGAAAACATATAGTAGAAAGTAAAAAAATGTTTACCTTTAATTTTCGAAAGTTTTCGATGCGATCACCAACATTTTCATGTCAAACCTCGCGGCTGCGATCCACTTGACCATCTGAAGAATTTCCGGGAAAATCCCATAGTCAGGGCAAAATTTCCAATCAATTTGCCGGCAATGGTGTATTTTCAATCTGAAATTTTTACATTTTGCAGTCTCAGACATATAATTACCGTATATAAAGAAGTTTATTTGATACTGCCACTGAAATATAACTAATACAAGTAAAGCAATTTATTGTGATAACGTTTTATCGCAATTATGACTTCGTGTAGTCAGGTAGGTTCTTAATTAACCAGGTTAACTTGCACAGAATTTAATTGTACTGTTGACGAGGCCCCTCGGAACATGTGAACATTTTTTATTTTACCCTAAACTACAGATATTTCGCAAATTACAGATTTCGCAAACTGCAGATTTCGCAAATTACAGATTTCGCAAATTACAGATTTCGCAAACTGCAGATTTCGCAAACTGCAGATTTCGTTTCGTTTCGTAAACTACAGTTTCGTAAACTACAGTAAGCCAATGGATTTCTATTCAGACAACCCTTTCTGAGCGCTGATTGGCTAAAATACGAACACGAGATCACCTGGAATGCAATAACTTCGGAACGGTTAAAGCAATCAAAAAGATATTCAATACCATTCTTCATTATCATTAAATGAATGAAATAAAACAATTTAGACATTTCTAGCTTGTCAGCTTTCTCTTGCAGAACATTTGTGATTATACGCTGCCATACCAGTATGTCAATATTGTTGTGGACATATAATTCGGTATTTCTCCTGAACAAAGCGATATTTCCCTTAATGGTTTCATGCCATTCTTGATTGATATTAAAGCAATATATTCTATCATTTCTCAACCTTCCAAGTCATTTTGCCTTGCATGCGCTTCACACTCGTATGTACTAGCCTACAAAGCAACAGTTTTTTGGGGAGAGTACTTGCAAGCAGGAAAATTTGGTTTTAATTTTGCTGTCCTAATTGTCCTGCCAGCAAGTCCACCATTTCCGCACAACCGCTGCAGAAATGTTCCTGCACAAGAAGATATACCCTGGGCCGTAAGGGTTTAGTTGTCTCTTAATTTTAATAATTTATATAATTTAATTAACATATATCAGAAATTTAAATGCATGTTTTGAAAATTTTCTAGCATTTGTTGATCACAATATGTGGCCTGTTTCTGGCAGTTTTTTTATATGGTATGCCAATATATATTCTTTAATAAACCCAGCTATAAAGGAAAAACTTGCATTAATATCAACACCAAAACATAGGACATCCTAACATTATTGTGTAAAATCATCTTCCCCCCGTAGGTCTCGAAGGGCTTCACACTTTGGTTGCTGTTGTAGTCCAGTACTTGCTCATTCACCTGATTGGACCAAATTATATAATGGTCTTGGCTAGCTTCACGTTTCAAATGGTATGTCTCCAGTACTAAAATTGGTTTGCACAAGTCTCCCAGAAGTTATAGTTGTGTGCTGTATTTTATAGACATACTTGCTTGTTGGTTATTGGGTATATTCCACAGATCTCTATGACATTGCATGGACAACTGCTCAATGTATTCTTGTTTTACGTTTAATTGGTAAGCCATGTTCTCTTCTTGATAACACTGATGGATATCAGATATACACTGCAGGCCCGTAGCTGGGGGGGGGCCTGGGGGGGCAATGCCCCCTCAGTCGGTGGGGCAGTGCCCCCCCACTCGGAAATCGGGTATGAAAAATTGAGATAAAGGGCCTGGCAACCAATTGTAATAATGGAAAAAATTCTGTAAATTTTGTGGAAAATTTTGTGATTTTTGAAAAAGTTTGTTAGGTTTCGGAAAAATGGAGTATGTCTGGAAAAATTGGTATGTCCGGAAAAAATTTTTGACCCCTAAAATGGTACACTGACCGAAATTTTTTTGGCGACGGGGGGGGGAGGTCGCCAAAATAAATTCCGGAAAAAAAAATTTTCATCTCAAACGGTCGGTTACATTCTTTCTGGAGTGAGTGCCCCCCCAGAAATTGAGAGCCAGCTACGGGCTTGATACACTGCACTATACAAGAACTCTTGTGAATCATTAAATCTCTCTGTTCTTTTTCTACTAAGGTGTTGCATGGGACACATATGATGGAGCCCAAGATTTGGTAAACAAAATTGTTATATCAACTGTACACCTTATGAAATAAAGTTGTAACTAAGTCGTGGCCACCATGCTTGCCTTTCAAGTTGGGAGACCCACGTTCAATCCTTGGTCGGAGTGGTTGGACCTCTGCCCAGGGTCGTAAAATATCGATGAGAAAGTGCTACCTTTATACTGACGTCAGTAAATGGTTAGACTTTGGCATCTTCTCGGATAAGGCGTAAAAAAAATACCTCTGGTTCCGGTTCCCGACCGACCCTATTTTTTCAACGCGATTGACCTGCCGACCCTATTTTCTCCAGGTGGTTGCGGGCTGCTCATACAGCATGCCAAAATGGCGTCTGTTGTCACACTAATTATTGAATCAAATTGCCTAAATCCGTCCATAGGAAATACGCATCTCTAGTTAATATTGATGTCGGGACTCTACTGAAAATCGCCCAGCAAAAATGCCAAAACCATGAAAAAATATTCAAAAAAAAATTTATTTCCGACCTACCAACCCTAATTTTTGTCACGATATGAAACCGGAACCACAGGTATTTTTTTTACGCCTAAGAACGTTAAAATCGTAGATACCTTGGATCCTCCGTCAACAGGCATTAACAGGCAGAAACCGAAATCCACTCACCAATGAGTTCTCAACTCAACAAACAATCAATAATACATACAGACAATCTCACAGATATTTTACAATAATGATTTATATTTTTTCAATGATAGGAAAAAGCATCAAATGACACCAAAGAAATGGCTTTGAGAACACCTCCTGGTTTACTAGAGGTGCATACAGAGTATTATCCTTCAAATGGTTGCATGCCTTGTAGTTTATATTGCTATATACAGTCGAACTCCCCCCTATCATGAACAAATCTAATGTCCCCAACATACATATTTCTCATATAAAATGGACTCCTCTTTAATAATGGACACTTTGTTCATCCTTTCAGTGTCTGTGTTAGAGGTACAGTATAATTATGATTTGAATAAATTATCTGACATTACTGTATATCTTCTACTGTAGATGACAGGACATGCATATTTCTTTGGATCATTTATTGTTGGGCCACAGGTATAGTTTTGAAAAACTTTTGTTCCAATGCAAAGGGGGACCACAGACACTGTGATACATTTATATTTCTTTCAGTTTCCCATGTCTCGATATCTTTCGTTTATCGGAGGAACATTAATTCCACCTAAACACGATCGTCAAGATGTCAAGTATGTTTATCCTGTCAAAATCACTATAGTAAAACAACTTCTAGTGTATCATATACAATTTAAACCATTGTTATTGATGAGCAAAATCGTCTGGCGTTAGACAGAGCAAAATAATATAGTGGGTTAATTAATTAGATAATTGCCAAAGTTAACATGGTAATTAATGCACATTAATTGTCGTTCACAGTGGCATTGTGACAATTTTGCTTTGCTTAGAAATTGTTGATGAGTTTGAGAACTAGAAATTTCAAGTTATTTTTTGGTTAAGCGATGATATCAACACTTTTTCCAGGATTAAAAAAGGCTTGCTTCGTTTGGCTGCTGGTTTAGTTTATATGTCAATTTATGCCTTGTTTGAAGGTAGCTTCAATAATCAATATTTGGTTTCCAAAGAATTTGAGGTAAAATAAATATCATTTCATTAGAAAGTTTCTTAGAAAGTTTCGTATTAAAAATGCATGTTATTAAGTGCATACGTAAATGGTGGTGTGCTAATTATGCATCCTTACTACTTGCCGAACAAAAATACTAAATGGCCGATTATTTTATTCTACACAGACAGTTTGTGGCATACAAAATTTTATATTTTAATATTTTTAGACATTATCTTTGATAAGGAAGATGGCTTATATTACAGTCTGGGGTAAAACAACCCTGTGTAAATACTTGGCAGTTTGGCTCGTAGCTGTAAGTTTATAAAACTAAGATATTTGCATTTTGCATGCCCGTCTAGGGCTTTCAGGTATATTGGTATTTTGACCATTTTCCTTTTGGTATACAATATTTTATTGAAATAATTTGAACTACGGATATAAATTGTTTAATTCACCCTCCCCTGCAAAGCAGGCATTTTGGTGGCTGAATTTCTCTCTTGTCATAGGAGGGTAGTTGTATAATGAGTGGTCTGACATACAACGGTAAGACTGAGTCAGGCGAGGCACGCTGGGACGCTTTGAAGAATTGTAAACTAACAATCCATGAAACCACAATCACATTACAAGTGAGTAATTATCTAAATAGATAATAGTAATAGTAATTATCTAAATGTTTAAATTTAAATTGTAATCTTATAACTACCTGAAGATGATGGAGTAAATCTCAGAAACGTCGTTTGTTAATGTAATAAAAAACACATTTAAAAAAAGTTTTACTGCGGTTTATATATTGAACACAAAATATCTAAAATACTAAATAGACATAACATTTATTTATTTATTTACTTACCACATTTTCCTTGGTATTTCCTTGATATTTCTATATCGATCAATGATGATTCGCATAGTCTCGCAAATCACTACCACCAGCAATGGTTATGGTCAAAAGGCGTTGTTTTAAAGCGTGGGACATCATGCTTTGAACGGGAATGCTGATAGCTATCTTTTATATTGAGTATCCTCGCTTTGGGCGATGACGTCATCTGCTAGGTACCCACATGTCGAAACGTTATGTCGTCATTTTCGGGGATTCGATTCGATTACTTGAACCAGACTATATAACGAAGAGAAAACATTTCTAAGTTAAGACAATGTTGAAAGATCTCAACAATTATACAAAAATACCTTTTGTTTTTCGCCTAGGGCGTTATTGACTCGTTTAATGTTAATACGAATTTGTGGATGAGCAGGTCAGTATTTCCTCAGTGAATTAATACTAAATAGTTGTAACGCGAAGCTGATGTGGTTTAGGTATGAACTACCTTAAAAACATTGCATGTACTTCGACATTTTGAGCATCGGAGTCTATTCCTACCAACTTCTGGCATGAAAAGCAAGCGAAAATTTTATTTGAAACGCGCGGGGTTTATTCAGCGAGGCCCACCCAAATTGCCTGTTGTGCAAGCTAATAGACTTCCAGATGAAAGATCTCACTAAAACCGTTGCAGCTTATTGGAGAATACTATGTTTGTAGACTGGACCCCAAAGTTCGCGTCTAAACGCAATTCGTTCCTTTTTTTAGATATTTATTCAAACGGTTAAGATTTTTAGGCAACAAGACATTATCCCATGTAATCACGCTTATGTTCTTAGCTGCTTGGCATGGCATATATATTGGTTATTTCATCTGTTTCACGACGGAATATTTTTATATTAACGCAGAAAAACAGGTACAATTTTCTTCTGCATTCATTCCATGGGATCAAAATGATTATTCCAAAAGATCAATTATTCTAATCACATTCTTAATTTCTAACTAGTTTCTTACAATTCTTGGCCGTTTTGAAGAAAAAATAAGCCCAACAGGATTGTTATTCAAGATACGATGGATTGTTATGTATTCTCTCAAGTTGACTATAATGTCGTACTGTTTGTTGCCATTTGTACTTCTGAAGTGGAGCAGAATTTACCAGGTAGCGATTTGTTGGTAAAAATTTGTACATCGTGCGCGCCTTGGAAAACCCTGGATTTTTCTTTTAGTCCTGGAAACTGAAAAGTTCTGGAATTTCAATGTGACCCCCCTGGAAAAGTATACTTATGCAGGCTTGATAGGCTGATACGTATGTGTAAGATATACTTAGAGAATTAAACGTTGTTTCAATACGATTGAGTACAAAATTTCTTGCGCATACAGCATGTCCATACTTTTCGATAGCGATATTAGCTTGACAGCGATAATTATTGAAAGGGTCCAATTTAGTAATTATTTCGAAACTTAGGAGAAACTGGGGGCATAACCCTCTTAATGTTTTAATCTACGACATAAATCTACCAAATATGTGGCTTTCAGATCATCATAAAACGTGTCTAAAATAATAGCATTTCGCAGACCCTAAAAATAGAAACATTTTCCGGGGGTCATGCCCCCAGATAGACGGACGATTGGACCACACCCCGCCCCCCACTGGCAATTATTTCCATGCAAAAATAACAAGCATACCTTATATTTCAGGTTTACAAAACAACGTACGCGTTGCCACATGTTGTTGTACTCGTTTGGGCAATATTTTACAACTTTATTTATCCTTCATTGCGAACTAAAGAATCAAGCAAGAAAAGAGAATAGCGTGATGAGTACATCCTCTACAGCTGACTTTGTTGCTAAAATGAATTAAATCAAATACTGAAAATACACCTGAATACTGCCATGTCTACAGTATACTGATTAAAAAAATGACATGTCTTACTTGGACCAACTTGTGTGTGAATAGACACTTCACGAATTTGCTCGAGTACCCACAAAACAATAGCTTGGGACGGACAATATAGACCGATACGAAAACTGGTCTTTTTTCTCACGAAATTAATTTCCAACCAAAGTAATAGCTGCCGCCTTTAATAGAATAATTCAGAACTATCACTTTTACAAAATATAAATATACTATGCATGCATATACTCTCTTTGAGAAATTAAATCTTAAAAATACCGAAGTTTGTGCCAGTTTTCGTATCAGTCAATGCATAGCCTATCGAAGGGAAGATGGCTGTGAAAGTCATTATAGAACAACAATATAACTCATTATCTATGTTAGTCGACGTTTATTCATAAATCTGGTCATTCACCGCCACGTGTGTATTGCATTTTTGCCAAACTAACCAATAGCAATGTTTTATGAAAGTTACCCATCCGTGACTCGAACAATTAATAGGTTGCTATCGAGTATTGGTGGATTTGGCAAAAATACAATACACACGTGACGGCGAAGGACCAGATTTATGAATAAACGTTGACTAACATAGATAACGAGTTATATTGATTATTGTTATTCTAATGAGTTTCACAGTCCTCTTAAGACCCTTCGATAGGCTATGGTCAATGCTATCTATTGTAAATAGGTAGTCTTCAATGCCAGCCAGTAAATTCGGGAAGCGTCCATATTCATGTAAATTTTAGTAATTTAAATATAACCATAGAATATGTAATTTAACATCATTTATTATTTGAATTAAAGTGTTTCGTAATTTCTGTATTAGTTTGTGTTTTTCTAAACCCTTGGGTAGTAGTTGGGGTCTTCTGGTATATCACCAAATTATTCTGAAAAGTCAATTTTGGAGCGCAGCAGGGCTGTTTTCCAAAACCACTTGACTTGCGCACAAAAATGTAAGATTTAAAATACAATTTGAATTCATCGAGTGCAAGTTTGGAAGGTGTTTTATAAACTATCGAAGTAACAGGTAATTTGATGTACAGGGTGTCCCCCAAAAAGTGACACTATAGAAATTATCCTATAGAGCGTTTGCACGTGACGTCACAGCCTGGCGCCATGGTGGTGTTCCAATTCAAAAGAATTTTAATTAGACTCTTTCGTTCCATGTTTCGCGCACCAATATAGGTTAGGGGTTAGGTGAGGGCTTAGGTGAGGGTTAGGGTGTGTATATAGGTGTATGGAGGTATCCAGTTAACTTTTCAGTACACTATAATATCCATTACATAACGTTTACTATATTTGTGCGCGAAACATGGAACGATTACAGACTCTTTTGTCTGGAACAGCAACATGGCCGCCATGGTATTTGTCGAGTTGGTCCCTGGGGAATGAGTGCAAACGTTCTATTGTTAAGCACAGGATTTCATGCGCAATTAAAAATTTAATTCAATTCAGTGTTTACGCACTCTTTCGTATTCAGCATACAGGGTGAGTAAAAAACTGATACCTTCGCGGCTAATTTGAATAACAAAGGTGTCAATTTTTTTACTCACCCTGTAGTGCTCAAGCATTCAAATTATAATAGGATAATTTCTATAGCGTCACTTTCTTGGGGGACACTCTATACTAATTCACACGCGCGACCTATGAAACTTGGTATTTAATTTATCACACGCACTATTGATTTTACGCACGATTGATTTTATATGCATGATTGATTTCTTACATACTCTTTTCAAAAAGTTTGAAGGCTGCCTATGGCAAAAACATCCACTTAATTGTGCATCAAATTGTCTGGTACTTTAATTTGATAGTTCACAATACACCCTTTTAATTTTGCACCCGGCTACGAATTCAAATTGCGTTTCAACTTTCAAACCTATTTTTGTGCGCAAGTCATTTTTAAAGTGGTTTTAAAAACAAGCCCAGCAGCTGCACACTGTGCTTGCACTCACAAATTGTATGCTTTTCAGAATAATTTTGTGACAACAGAGATACCAGAAGACCCCAAACTACTCACAATAACATACAATGGCATACAATGGTTTTACTATTGTGGTTGCTCCACTTGGCAAGATGGCGTCGCGAACCTCGAAAAGCCTGATGACTATACTATATATATATTACTGAATACTGATACAGAGTGTTTTGAAAAGAACTGTTAAACGCCGTACTACACTCGAACAGACCGTTCGAGCGTAGGAAGTGACAATAACACGTGCAGAGAGCCGGGGGTTGAGAGGAATTCAACAACCCGAAAAACACAAGCAAAACTTCTTCGACATTTCGAGCGTAGCGAAGGCCCTGAAAGTTCTCGCTTGAAACGTCGAAGTTTTGTTTGTATTTTTCGGTTGAACCGATCTCAATCCGCACAGTTTTCAAGTATTTTACACTACACAACTTTTGCCTAAAACTGTCGCATGCAACCTGCTTACAACTTGAATTGTACTGTGTAAATCGTGTCGTGGGTGAGTTGCACTCTTGACATACACAGTACAACTCAAGTTGTAAGCAGGTTTTGCCGCTTGCCTGGCTTAAACGTGAATCTTAAGGTCTCTATATTATCACATACCTTTTACACTGTAAATTGAACTGCCAAGTTTTGCTATCAGTAATCAGTTTCATTTCAGAAGAAGATTCATGTTCGTCTTGCGAAGGCGAAAAGGCAAGCCACGTAATTTCCTTGAGCACACACGCAGCTCGTGCGAATAGATCTTTCTTAAAATGACGTCAAACACGTAAAAAACTTAATGCGATGTCCCAAGGGAGAATTTTTAGCGACTTCGCAATGCAAATGATGTTTTTATGAAATTTGTTGGGATTGTCGCTAAAAATTGTTCTGTGCCTGTGGGACATTGCATACATTGGCTTTCCGCGTTTGACATTATTGTATGTGAGGTCTTTTGACCAACCCGAGGCGACAATTTCATGCATGTTAAATATTTGTGAACAGTTGTTCATTTTACGCTAAGGCGATGTTACACGAGGCAATTATTGTTGCAACTTGCAAGGCATACGCGGAGACATGTTATCTCACAAAATATCTTTCATATATTGACAAAGTAATTAAATCATTCATTATAGTATAAGTATAATTTCTGCCTGGCAGAACTCAACCTCGTCCTTAAACCTTGACTATATTGTTATTAAAACTATGTATATATAAATACTCTAATATATATAGCTATGACACATCAAAAGTGATCATGATTTTACTTGAAGTCTATTTACACAATATACGTACTTAGTCGATTATACGATTCTCATCTTATTAAATAAAATTTTAGACAGTTCGATTCGGTAAAAATTCCCGTATTAAATGGCATGAAAGAACTCCTAAAAGTTGTCTATCACATCAGTAAAACAATGTCGACAAAGGAAAAAGTCGCTTTCCGTGAACAAATTCACCTAGTCGAAAACGAGTTTAACGACCCCAAAGAGCGATTTCTGTTTAGTAGTGGTCTTAACTTCCTCAACCCAAGTCTCGTTGTAATAAGGTAGACGATTTACTGCACGCGTAGAAATCTCACATCTTGTAGCAAGTCTGCCAACAAGCTGTCAACAAGTTGTGTTCGCACTGCTTGTCCGGCCCAAATTGTCAACAAATTTGGAACAAACTGTAAACAACTTGTAACAACCTTGTTGATACTATCAGACTTGTTGCAAGGTTGTTCCAACACGTCCGATACAGTCATGATATAACAATATTGTTACAACCTCGTATGATCAACCCGGTAAGTCTGGTAACATTCTTGTTATATCATGACTGTATCAGACGTGTTAGAACAACCTTGTAACAAGTCTGATAATGCCATCAAGCTTGTTCCAAGTTGTTAACAGTTTGTTCCGAACTTGTTGCGACAACTGGGAACAAGCAGTGCGAACACAACTTGTCGACAGCTTGTGAACAGATTTGTAACAACTTGTTTGCAGACCTGTAACAACTTGTGCGTTTTTACGTACAGCTTAGCTTGTCACACTTTCTAGCGGACTGTATCACTGAACATTATTGAACAAGATGAGAATCGTACCAGCAATTATATAGTGGTGTTTCTTCGTCGTTGGAAATCTCAGAAAGATTGCATAGTTTCACTATTTGTTGTTTCAACCTTGAGAATTTCTCAGAATGACAGTTACAATTTCCTAGATTCCGATGAGCATTCCAGTAAAAGTCGATCTCGCTTGTACCACGATGGGATTCCCCGAATTATTATCAACATACACCGAAACATGTTGACCAGTCTACGCAAGAAAAATATTTCAAATTTAATGCTTTGGAGAGAAAGAATGAGAAAAATGAATCCCTGATTATAGGAACTGATATCTGATCAGGTCCCCAATTTCCAATTTGAAGTACACACGTAAAAATCTCACAACTTGTCAACTAGATGTGTTCGCAACAGGCTTGTAGCAATTAGCTTGTGAACAAGTTGTAACAATGCTGTTATTTTATCAAGTCGCTACAAGGTTGTCACTTACGACTTGTTGACAAATTGTTGAATTGCAGGACGATAACAAGTTGTTGGAACAACTTGTGAACAAGTCTGTTGAGCTCAACAAGCTTGTAGCAACTTATCAACAAGTTTTTGGAACAGCATTGCTACAAATCACTGCTGCATATTTGTTACAACTTGTGCGTTTTTACGTGTGTAGCTGCCTTTAAGTGTAACACGCATACCTTTAGAGAGAGTAAGCCTTCTACACGAACTGTAAACACTCTGCTATTTGATGAAAGTCCACTAACAGTCATTAAGGAGCTGTGAATATAGAATATATAACCTAAATATTTCTCTATAATTTTCCTCAAAAGACAGACGGAAAATTAGTTGATTACAGCAGTGGCGTAACGTTATATCAGGGGGCCCCCGGTTCAAAATTTTCGAAGGCCCCCCCTAGTAAGAAGTGCCAAAGGCACGAGTCGAGCGCCATATATGTACGAGTATTCTAGGGGGTCCAGGGCATGCTCATCCGGAAAATTTTTGAATCTAGACTCTCTGAAATGCCATTTCCTGGACTTTGGGGGAGAGATTTTACAGAATTCTGATGGTCGTAAAACGACACTGTAACATATCAGAGGCCCTGACCAATGTTTTTGCTCTATCGCCTAAGCCTGGGGGCCCCCATTTAGGTTGGGGGCCCCCGGGTTCTCCCGGTCTGAGCCCATAGTAGTTACGCCACTGGATTACAGTGGATGGCATAAGACCGTTAAGATTATAGAAAAACATTGTCTACGTTCAAGAAAACTTTCATATTTTCAAGAACATTTGGGATTAGTGTTTAACATCAGTAGTAGTAACTCACGTATTTCTGTCACACTGAAAATCGATGCAGATGAGAACTTTGACAAGATCACGTGGTCGCAGGCTGGCATCCCGAAATCGGGCAACATTAACAGACGCAGAAAATCTGTATATTGCCGTATAAGGAACAGTAAATTGTCCCGTACGGAAGTCAATATCATTCCCCCGGACAAAAGTACCAAACTGACCGACCTGAAAGGAATTGAAAAAAAAATATTCAGGCGTGATAACCCTTTGGAATGTTGTGTTTATAACGTAAACAAACATGAAAATTTTCACGCGCTTCAAGCTTGAACGCAAATGCAGTGTGACCAGATTTTTTCAGCAGTCATTACCAAAATTTTGTTCAAATTTTACTAAATTAAGAAAAATTTTGCCAAATGTCGGCTTCCCAAATAATTACGTCATAATAATGCCAAAAAACAATCGTTGCGTCAAGTAGAAAAAATATTCCCAAAAAGGTATCTCGAAATTTCATCGCATTGCATTTTTTGCTAATGATAAGGCTTTATTTCTTAGGCTTGGCAGTTCTGCTCATCACTTTGAGCACGTTATTAAACAAGAAACACAAACTGATGATTATTAATCATTAAAACCTTTCAGACTTTACTAAAACTTTACCAAAAAAACAAACTTATTACCAAATTTTCTTGACAATTTACGAAATTTTACCAAAAGTAAAACTGATATTTTCTGTAGTATTCCAAAGGTCGTAGGTTCGATTCCCACGGGTGGCCTAGCATACTTTTCAAGCCTGCCCGGTGTGGATATATACTCAGAGTAACATCACAAGCAAAAGTAAAACTTTTTACCAAATCTGGTCACACTGCGCAACTGGCAGTATGTTCCAACTTACGTTCGTTTTATAGTTTCGTAGTTCTAGCATACTTTTCTTGGGGACTTGAACGTTGTTTTTTAACTCAATATGAAAAGCAGAAACCAGGTCTGCGGCACCAGTCGCCATCAGAGCCATAGCCTGGGGGGACAAATTAAATGATTTAACTTTTATAGGATGATCATAACTTACAACTAATGCTTAATTGAATTTACTCAAAGTGTACTCTTTACCTGATCAGAAATCTCTCTTATTCGGCTAGATCGCTTCTGAGCTGTTGCTATTGTTAAAAAAACAAACGAGAATAGAATATTACATACCAAAAAAAAACCTCCAAGCAGGGAAACCAACTTTTTTCAAACTATAATAAATGCCGGTACGGGTTACAGCTGTAAGGAAAACCCATCAAACCGCATCTGCCTGACCTGTAAATAGCATCTAGTGTTGAATAACATACCTCTTATCAAACCTCTGAATTTCGCCATCAACTGAGCTTCAGTCATTTCAGCTCCGGGCGCTCCTCGCGGTCCCGATGGTCCTGGAGGTCCTCTTGGACATTTGCACTAAAACAATGAAAACTGACTGTTAATAAACTGGAGTGAAGATTTAAGCAAAGCTACTACACTGATCTGTATATATATTGAGTGTATCTTTTGTGTTAAAAATGAAGGCAGAAGTCAGCCATTGAATGATCGAGCAACTCACCACAACTTTTCCATCTTTGGTCTTATACAAATTATCTTCTTTTTGTGACGAGTCGTACGTGCTTGCTAAGTTTTGAAACTGCAACCAACTCTTGTGTGGATTAACTGGAGTACCATACGAGTCTTTATTCGAGTCCTGAAAGAAATATAATTATGATGAATTGCAGTGGCGGACACTTCGAGAAATATTGGGGGGGGGGGGGTAGGTTCAGGCATATGACCACCTTTCATAGCTTGAAATCTTAGTGGTTCTTTAAAGTTGTTTGTTATAAATTTCATGCAAGACATAGCTTAATTTATAGTCTAATAATGCTTTTATGATTAGAAAATTATCGTTACAGCTTTGTTACACAGTTATTTAGCTATCATTCAAAGGTTTTCTGAAATTGTGTGTGGGGTGCACCCCGGTCCTCTAGTGTCCGCCACTAGTGGTTTGCCATAATTAGAATTAGGTTTAGTGTCAGGGTTATTGAATAGTTAGGATTAGGCTTGGGGTCGCCTGTATGAAGTTTAGAAGGTGATGGCACGATCAAGTCTTTTTCTACCAATACATCGCAATTTTTTGATCTCACTTGGGTCTGATCGAAGATGTGAATTTGTTGAAAGTTCCTGCTCTATTCGTGTGAAAATCCACCCTGGTGTTTAGATTGTAACTTTCCGAGTTTCCCGCCCTTCACAGCAAGTGTGGGACATATGTTCCTGTCAGTTTGTTTTTCACGACCCCTTGCGAAGTTCCGAGGTGTTGTGCTGTCGTTGTTCCTGATTACGACACTAGCGTGAAAATCGAGTCATTATAACACTAAATCTAGGGTTCGTTTTTTTTTAGAATTTTTAAATCTGGGAATTTTATTTAGAGTGAGTTTACACTCATCTTTATACACCTATAAATTCATGCACACTCCCCCAACAGTCTCTTCAAAGCCTGATACATAAATAACTTGCTAGAATTTGTCAATCGTAGGAATTTCACAGCATTGACACTGTTTTTAAAGATTTTTGTAACAGATGGTCAGAGTGTGTATAAAATATACATTAGAAAAAAACAATATTGCGGGCGTAGTCAAAGTGTGAAAAAGGACTTCCTATAGAAAACATTTTAAAACTGTTTATTAAATTGCGGTCTAAGGAAGGAAGGTTTACCTTAAACTGTTAAATTTAACTTTATTTCGATAATTTAATTTTTCGTAATGCGACCGCTCATAAATAGGCTTACACTTCACACGTTGCATCATTAAAATGTACTAATCTGGAACTGTAAATCACATTTAAAATTTTCATCAGAATTCTTTTCCTTTGCGGCTTCTCCCCTTTTTCTTAAATGTATTGATAACAATTGTAATGCGGCTTTAATCAACTGGGCGGGCTATACGGCTCAAAAAGAAAACCTGTTCATTTTGATTGGGGGATAAAAAAATGTCCTACTGTGTGGAATTTAATCTAATTTTATTCATTTTGTACGCAATCTGTACTGTTAAAACCACTTATAATTCAAGAGAGTGTGATATACACTCGATTCAATAACTTAGAATAATAGAGTTTAGTAGGTATACAATACATATCGAAGTCACCTAAATTTGGAATAATTCCACGAACTTCTGTAACTCCGTTTTTGAAAATGTAAACTACCAAACTGAATAAACGAATCGATGTTTGATACTGGGTTTGAAAGCACACTTTAAACTTAATAAAGTGAGAAAAATTGTTACGGAAATTAGGTTGCATTTCATCCTTTAAAGGTTTTAACTGTAATAGCCAAAGGCGGGACTTATTTTCACCTTGATTTTCACATTAAAATTATGGAATGTTGTTAGTAATTAGTAAAATACTTTATAAGAAATGAGTTAGGAATCACAAGTTTTAATATTTCCTACAACAGTTCTGTAACATGATAAAGCTCGTCGGTAAATTTGTCAGTTTACAACGCTGGCATATCAAGAAACTTTCAAAACATTCACATCCTTCCACGTGCAAAAAATCGTACTAAACAGATATGCTACTTAATCCGAGACTTAATCTACGGCTACGCACTCAACTTTTGCTTAATACTATAGCTCTTGCGCAAAATCTAATTAGCATATATTCCGTCCTTAGCGCTCAATATTTGAAACATTGGCAATAATATATGAACCGGTAATGAAGATGTTTGCGAAAAATTTGATCAATTTCCTTGATGAAACAACATTTTACATGCAAGTTCTAAGCACATTAACATATAAAGGAAGACAAATTCTTGGACTAATTCAAACAACCTCAACTCTCAAGAATTGCGCAAAATCGATCATGTGCTGTATCTAAAATATCAGAAGCAAGGTTGCGCGCAACGGTAGTTACACTGAACGAATACACCGCTAAGCGAAGGGATGACCCTTGCTGGACCTCAAGGGAGAACAGTTTAGATCTGATATGGCTATCAAGCCATAAAATTAGTTTAATTTTATAGTTTCCACTTGATACTTACTGGGCCTCTACAAAGAACAGTTTAGAACCGATAGAGCTATCCAGTATAAACTCAAAGCCGGTTAGGGCTATGGGATCAATATGTATACGGTTAGCTATTTATCTTGACAAGAAACTACAAACATTAAGTCATGTTTATAAAAAGGTCTATATGATGTACAATATGGTAATATTGAGATTTCCCGCTCAGCCGCTAGATGTCTACAGGTTGATGTATGTCCACAGAGATAAGATTGTAGTCATGATGGCTTGCTAGGTTTGTTGAAACAATCGTTGACTGATTGATCAAATTGATAATGCTAAATACTGTGCGGGTTTGAAAACCTTTTGGTTTCACATCCAAAATGGTCCATGCAGAATTTGTATTGAGAAATACAAATTACTAGATTTGTATATACTGTTAAACCATTCTTGCATACAATTAATGGACCAGTCTTTCATATTTTACTGGAGTAAACCGGAATACTGAAGCACTCTTTTCACTCATGTGATCGAAACGAAATTATAATCAGACAACCGAATTCTGTAGGAACCCAATCTCGGACGCTGACATGAAAGTCGCATGCGCTATTGATCCACTGTGCTGCCATGCCACAAGCGCATTTTACTAAAACCCACACTCAAGCATTCTGCAGAAATACTGTATGTCGCTCCACAGCTCACAAAATCAACATATATCACGTATGGCCGCAGGATTTTTCCTAACATTCCTATAAGGCATAGTCTGCGTAGATAGCCTGCATTGAACGCACGTTCTGCGCGCAAACACGGACTAATTTTGGAGCGATGGTGAGAGAAAAGCAACCTTAATTGGAGTTGGTTCGTCAGAGTCCGCATAATTATGTGTATGAACATGACATGGTGATCCCATTTAAGGATCGCATTAATAATTCCAATTTCAACATAAAAAGATTGCTGATAAATTATTGTCCTCTAACTACGTACATATAGCGGGCGCGAGTAGAAACTTTATGCCTTAGACTTAGCAAGGCTTAGACTGAAGGCTACCGAAATCACGGCAAAAAACTCCTACAGTCAGTTATGTATTAATTCATAACACACTGTTGGATGTATTAAATACTATTTGGTTATCATTAGCAAAACGTCCAACAGTGCAATATATACGATCGTATAAGATAACCAACAAAGGTCTCATTTAATCAGTGGAGCCAACAACGTTATCGGCATATTTATTCAACGTTTCTTTCAACTGTGCATGCTTTGATAATTGTATTATTTACGACTGGCTCATACAGGGAGGTATATTCGGTAATTTGCAAACAGGTTTTCATTCTCTATTAAACATTGTATATCACAGACGTTTTACGCAAATGAACATCGATAGCCCAGCAGGAAGAATTTTTAATTGAGAAAAGATTACAGTTAAATTACGAGGCACAAACAAAAGAGTTCGACTATTTGTAATCTTATGTACATATGTTTGCGGTATATAAAACGAAACCCACATCTGACATAACTATATATAGTTTCATCTGCATTAAAACTGCAACGGATCACATACTATATGTCCGCAACACACCAACAAAAACTGCGTGATTGCGGGCAGAGGCGAAAAACTGTTGGGTCACTCAGTTCAATCCTGTTTGCGGTGAACTAATGCTCTAATTATTCACAAAAAATCAGCATATTAACACAGTATAACAATGATGGCTTACCGGTGAATTATTTCTGCCTCTTCGTCTTTTCGAGTGTACTGTACCCATGAAATGCACCAAAATAACAGCAGCAACAACCAATGTTTTCAAAGCCATCGTAATTTCTCTTTGAGACTTCGGGTCCTCTTGTGAACCTGTTCAATTGAAACAACTATTAATTGGAAATTCATAATGAAAGTTCAAATTGACAGTGTTGCTGTCAAGCGCGTGTACTCACGACACAACACTTCAAAGTAATAAACACAAGTGCACGCACTCGGATTAACGCATGGTATGTTAATATGAACGCTGACTTGAGAATATCATCACAAACCTTAATGTAATGATGTTTCTTTGGAGGGCTAATTTCTGCAACTTCCAGCGTTCGCGAGCAGAGTCAACAATGATTGATTACGTTCGGAAACAGGCGTTTTAAATGTGCTTCGGGGCCCCACTTATCGCGTACATCGTCGCCAATTAAACACGAGCATAAAATGCTAATTAGCTGCCAAACAACCAGCGGAAACAATAAGGCAATCGCGGGTTCGGACCTACAGCGCCCAACTTAATGAGGGAGCATCAAGAAGCTGTTCAAGGACTTATTCTTTTCTTGAAAAGCTCTATAAGCTAGATAATCTTTAAAGCAAGCGGCCGTATATAATTTCAATTGCCGTGACGGGAGATCAAGTATTGCACAGCGAGAGCTCGTCAATGGCATGTCACGCTTCGGTGTATTTGAATTGCGCACCTCAAGGTGCTCAGATCAAACAGAAATATTTACATTAAACAGATATTTGGCAAGTGTTCACACGTGGTTAACCTAATCAGGAATTTATTCCTACAATGCCTTTCAAAATAGAACGCGTCTGAAATAACTGAATGTAAAAAACTATCGAATAATTTTATAAACGAAATAGTTTTTTGACTCAGCCAACACCACATATGTTTCAAAAGTAGGTAGTTTGAAGCAAGAAAAAATTATCGCTGTTTAGGCTACTAGATTATTTATTACGGCCTTACAACGCAACTATTTAAGGAAAGCTTCAGTCTCCTTTCCAAACCTGATCAAGGAAAACACTTGCTATACTCAGAATTTGCCTATTTGGTAGAAAAGTGCTTTGAAATCTTAACTACAACTGTCTATGACACCAGAAAGCTAGTGACTAGTTCCAGACGTTTTGGGCCTTCGCTTGAAACAGTCGAAGTTTGACTTGTATTTTTCGGGTAGTTGAACCAATGAACCCCTCTTTTAATCCACGCCTTTCTGGTTTGAAATATTACATAAAATATTCGTTACTTCACACTTTAAATTCACGCATTTAACATTCAATTATTCGCTGGATCCCCGAGGCAAATCTGAACAGTGAATGAGAAACGGATTCGGTATCAAAAAGCGGAGATTCCAAAGATTCCGGTTTTAATATTGCCATTATTCAACTCGAAATAAATGGAATCGTTTACATTGGAATGTATTTAGGCTTATCAAGTAAATCTTGCAGACTTTCCACCGTAACTTTATGAATGAATGTGCCTAATTGTGTTCATTTCAGAGAGAAAATTCAACAGTAGAAATCAGCAATATTTAATATAAGAATAAGGTCGTTTAGTTGTATGGGCATTATTATGATCGAGGTTAAATACAAAACGGAAACCAATGAGTGCAAAGTTATAAATCAAAATGATTTATTGCTTAATGAAAGCTATTGAGATTCGTGTAATCTAAAAGGTGATAAACAGTATTCACAAGTTTATAAGCAAATTGTTACTTTTGTCACATTGAAGTTTCGATCGATTCAGTTTTGAAAAGCAGATCGAAGAGGTAATTGATACAAAGGAATTAGTTTTGCGTACAGAGAAGTATTGGGATCAAGTATAATGTACTGCAAGTTTAAAAGAATATTTCACAAGATGGAAAACGGAGGAAGACCGTTACTCGTTTGAAGTGATTTATTACTTATTGAAAGCTAAGAGTGTCTCCAGCAGTTGATATGAAAAGCACTTTAAAATGTGACAAATCTTTTCAACAACTCTAATATTAGTTCAAGCATGCATAAAAAATTCACCTTCTAATTTTGGCTACTAAAAACGAGGCTTATTTTAAGGACAGTATACAGTATCAGGTTTAGTGCGTAATTAATCTCCTTGTTTCGATATTATAATGAACTGCTAAACTGTAAATAGAAATTAAGCCTGGCTTAACGCACAAGGGGTCTTGTTGAACAGTATAGATGTTAACTATATAATATATGTCCACTTTCTATCTGGGTGTTCTTAATTGAGCCTGTTTATGCAAGACGAAATTAATTGGATAACTGTCATAGGGGACTATATATCTTCTTATGTTTTTAATGTTGTTTTAAAGGAAAATAGAATTTTACAGAAACATTAAAGTTTAAGTACTATATATATAGATCTATATATATATATAGAGAGAGAGACCCGATTCCTATACCGCGCGAATTATGCTAATCATTATATTGGTAAGACATTATATTGGTTTCTGCCAAGTAATATATACATGTACAATTCAAAACTGAGAAAATAATTGATCGAGTCCATTCTAAGTAATCGGAAGATTGAGATTTTTAAAGTTCAAATTCAGCTCAGGTACATTTTTTAGCCAGTCCCACAACCGGATGAAAAGAAGTTTAATGTAGTCTTAAAATTGGACACGATGTTATTCTGAGAGAGGATTTATATAAACTGGATAGCTGTATCAGTTCTAAACTTGTTTGCCTATACTATAGAGGTGAAGTAAATTAACACTATACTTGCATGGTTCAGTGTTACAACGGTAGTAAACCTAAAAAAACCTGTGGTGTTTGGTAGAGTCAAACATGCAGTCACAAGCGAGTCAGGAGGCGAAATTCTAATCAGACAAGTGCATATTTCAGAAATGGAACCGCAGTCACTGCAGAGGTGAAAGTTCATGTACTAACCACAGCGCCACCGACGTTCGCAAGGTACGACGCTGCGTCGGCCCGATTTCAGATGCACTTTAATTATGTCTGAAAAATACGTTATCTGACGACATCATCAACTAATAATTTTCCTCATTATTGACATTCAGCAAAACCTAAAATCTGCCCGAAAAATCGTAGCGTGTAAACATATAGACCGCTTATTATTCTAACCTGTCTTGAAGCCATTGAGTTAATCTATATTCCTAAACTATGACAAGCCTCTTCAATCTAGATACTTAATTGCGGCGTTATCTCTTGAGGCGACCTTCCCCTATTGAAAGACTTTATAAACATAAATATGCATGTGCCAAAAATTTCCTGACTTAAAAACCGTTCCGCCTTTGTTTAAAAAAGCTAAACAATTTCCACCCACCATTCCGTATCCATCTGTTAAACACTTTTGTATTTCTCACTGAAGCTCAATGGAAGCCATAAAAAAGTGTTGCCCATGTATACTATGAGAGAATTTGGTAATTTCTATCAACGATTTTTCAGGATTGGGCGAGTTTACTGACAGCAGTTTACTATATGGTTTTGGAAAGCGTTTGTGCCGAATGCATTAAATGCCGGAAATCAAAACCAATGTTTACTTTTCGGGAACACGGTTTCAGAAGTTTTCAAAAACAGACTTGATAATATCTAAACTGGCTGCACTGATTATGTAGCCTGTGCGTGTGTACCGACATTTACGCGATACGTACCTATTTTTTGCAAAACATTTTTGAACATTACTCATTTCCGGTATACTGTCCGCATGTTTCGCACGCACAGAGTTAGATCAGTTAGGGTTGTGATTGGGGTGAAGATCACTGATCCTATGCAAGACTAGCACTGGAGAGTGATCGGCTATGCATATATGAAGCTAATGGCGGCCATGTTGATGTAACCACCACAAATCTAGTGTGGTGTTGCTGACATGGTAAAAGCGATTCTATCAGTTTTTCGTTGGGAAAGGTCTCGTATTGTCTAGATAAAAATTGCTCATCAACGGCCTCCCTTTCGTCTTAAACTATTGCTGCCGAGCCTCGAGTCTCAATATCTAGCGTATAAAACGTTCTAAAACTCGTCACATGAAGTGCAGAAAGCTATATCTTTCAAGTTCATGGGCAAGGACATTCGCTTGATGGTTAAGCTAACTTAAAAATCTAACAGTTTGATATGTGAATAATTTGACAGATTTAAAAATATTTGTGTGTGTTAATGGTGTTATGTACTCAGGTGAATATGATGTTTGTGATGTTACTCCGGTGTGGATGCACACTCAGAGTAACATCACAAACATCAAGATTTAAAAATATCTTGTCGTTATAGGTCTTCTAGTATTCTTGCTTCAACATTGCCTCATTTCACTGAAAACACTCCAGCATAGTCTTCAAATCAGTGCAGCTGAGGATCAAAGACGCACTATAGATATTCGTGCGTGATCGAAACAACATGAATGTTACGCGAACACTGACCACTTTTTGGTCTATACTACTCAGTCCTCTAGCTGCGGGAAAATTCATAGTGACATGTGAGAAAAGTGCTTCCAACTTAAGTTTGAAGTTTGAATACATTATCTCAAACTCATTAATAATTCTTCATTAGCTAATTCTACATTAGCCAACCATAGTGCTTTATTTTGCTCACATGATAATACTTACCCTGGATTCCAGAGCCTTCGACAGTAAATAATAAATTGAAATGTCGCGAAGGCTCTGGAATCCAGGGTAGATAATACTGGATACCTAGTGAAGTATATTGATCCAGTTCTAGGACTGGATCGAAATTAATTCACCTCACTTTGAGTAGTGATTTATTTATATTTTATATGAGATGCCATTTCAAATCCGACTATGAGGACTGGACTAGATTTCAAGTCCTCGCATTTTGATCCAGTCCTTTGGCTTCGCCTCTGACTGTAGGGACAGGCACATTGTGCTAAAAAATGCCTATTATGCTATTCTCAAATGCTCCTGACATTTCCCTATTATGCCCAAAGTTTTTCCCTATTACGCCCATAATTATGCTATATCATATTCAATCAAGAGCACAAAAAAACAAGAACTTTATTTAATTTAACGTTTGTTATAATTAACGTTTGTTATATTGCAACATGAGTGCATGAGGCCTCAACAAGGTCCTCTGGCCCGCAGATGGTTGTCACATATGTGTATTACGTAATTACGTTGGCAAAATGTCGTCATACCGAAACTTTTGCCTATCATGCTCGCTCTTTGCCTATTGTGGTCGATCTCAAAAGGGTTCCCTATTATGCTAAAAGAAATGCCGGCATAATGTGACTGTCCCTACCTCTGAGTCTTGACCAAATTGCGCGTACTTGAAATCTAGTCCAGTGTAGTTTTGCCTACAAGCAAATACCTCCACACTACCGCTCAGGAAACACTGAGAAATACGCTACTTTTCAGTACGATACGGTTTAAGTGGAAAACGACTTTTAGGGGCAAATATACCTAGTACAAGTACACCAGCATTGCACATATAAACATATAGATAAGCCTGACCTTAATCGACCTGGGAAGTGAACGAGTTTGTAAAAACATTGTCGAAGAGTTGAATACTGTTTTAGTCTTCATCTTACCTTTAAATGCTGACTGTTGTATATTGACAACCGTACCAGTAGTACTTTTTGTGAAACGTTGCTGACATCCAAACGCAAACGAGGCATCTAAAAATGCAAGACAATAATTTTACAAACATTATGAGTATTCAACTTGAGAAATAATGTTTATTAAGTTATTCGTAAAATGATAGCGCTTCAAAGCACATTTCACCGACCCATTTATAATAAGACTTCAAGTTAAAGCCGTAATGGGACAGCTATGCGTTTTTGCCTTCGAAGAGCAATTAGTGAATTGATGTTAAATCTCAATAAATGACCCACAGCATAACAAAAATAACAGGGCCAGTGGCAGTGCAGACTGTGCAGTGTAGGTAGTATGCATTCAGTCTAAAGTAAGCTATACTGGTTGTGGTTAAAGTTATGATTGCGATCAATTTATCCACTTTATTGGAGAGATTAAGTTGGCTACTACACTTTATTTTATAACAGACTGGTCACTAACACAGTCACTTACTGTCAGGAAATTTTTGAACCCCCCCCTC